CAGTGCTTGGCACACAGTAGGTGATTAATAAATGTTTATTCACTTATAGAATGATTTGGCTCCTTACACACACACACACACACACACACACACCCCACTCCAGTCCCTCACTACACATTATCCCTCTCTGACGTCTTTCCCTTCAAGGCTCTTCATTTTAATCAGGTACCTGCTTAAATGTGTGGTCTCCTTGGTATGGGTATTTATTCCCTCTGCTGAAGATTTGCAGCACACACAAGTCACCTTATTCTGCATCATTTTTAAACAGGTTACACCATAATAAAAATGTTGGGGGATGAGGTCAAGGAGAAAGGAATTCACACTGTGATTTGTCCTAAGAATAGCTCTGGATCTCACACCCTAATGAGGGTTGCTTTGTCACTACCTAATCTCTCTAATACTACTTCTGGAATTCGCTAATTCTGGCTGATGCTGATTTGGATCTGCTCCAGGGAAGATTTAGAGCCAAGGGATGAACCACATGCCTGGTTCTCTAAAGTAGCCCCTTACATTCCTTGTATTCCCAGAATGACACAGACTTTCTAGGGAACAAGATAACTAGGTATGACCCAGGACCAGGCCATAGCCAATACTCTGGGCCCTCTAGCACCATTCTGGAATGAATCAAGACCTTTGGGTCTTGGACCAAGGCATTCCCAGATACGGAATTTCGAATTAGAGCTCCTAACAAATTATCCTAACTTGTCATGTTTTGTGTCTGATGCCATTGCAGAAATGGCTTAATACAGTGTACACCTGGCAAGGCCACAATTTACTAGCCTTAGTGGCTGTTTTATAATTTCCTGGGCTATGCAATGTTTTCTTTCAAGGTGTGACAAAGGGATCCCTGCATGACAGTAGTCCATCAGCTACGGTGACTTCTCAGTGTATGGCCATTATACTGTAGATTACAAACAGCTGCAGACTAATCAAGATTCCTAATTGGTCACCGGGATCATAGTCTCTCCTCCCCGCCTCCCACTCCCACTCCCATCCCCTTTAGGAAGTTAGGTATCAAAGTCCTATTGCTTATGATAGGACTCCAGGTTAAGCTTTGAGGCCCCACATTAATTCATCTTCTCCCACAGCACAAAATGGAATCATCTCCACATGCATTCTAGAAATAGACAGATTCATCCTTCTTTCACTTTGGATGACTTACATGGAATATCTGTGAGTTGCCCTGCAAAGTATGGGACTCTGTATATTACTGTAGTATATTACTGAAAAGTATAGGACTCTGAGGCAATGAGGATGAGGAAAGAAAACTAATGAAAATGGCAGCAAAGAGACAGAAAAACTAATGTCTGGATCACACTAATGCCTAGGAAAGGCCATCTGTATGGCAGGATTTTTGACTATAGAAGTTGAGCAGTTAATGTTTTGGGAGCAATGATATCTATGAAGAAAAACATTATGTTGGGTCCCCAAAGGAGGAAAGGGTGTCACAAATTGGGGGGAACAAGGGAAGCTTTAAGGAAAAAATGGCATCTGAGATAGGCATTAAAGGATACCTAAGCAAAGCAGTCCCAGATTGTAAATGGCTTGAAATGCCAGGCTAATGAATGCAAACTTAACTTGGTAAGAACAACAACTAACCTTTATATAGCACAAACTATATGCCAGACCCTATGCTAAGCACTTTTAATTATCATCTCAATTGATCTTACAACAACCCTGCTATTATCATCCTCATTTTACAGATGAGGCAAACAGATATTAAGTGACTTGCCCAAGGTCACACAACTATTAAGCGTCTAAGGCTAGATTTGAACTCAGATTTTCCTGACACCAGGCTCAGTCCCCTATCCCACTGTGCCATCTAGGGAGTAGCTGAAAATTTCTGAGCAGGAAAGAGAAGATTTCTGAGCAGAGGGATAATAACACTATATGAGGAAGAAAAGTCTGATGTATGTGAAAAGGATGGATGGCAAGGGCAGAGAAGAGTTAAGATTCCCTTCTGTTGTTGTTGCTGTTGCTTGTCCTTCGTTCTCCAAGAGGACCATGACATCAGGAAGATGATGCCATGATGTGCAAGTGAACTGGATTTAAGTGAGGCAGGGCTGTGCAAAGTCACCAGCCTCACCTTCTCCTCCAGAGCCATCTGGGTCCAGTGGTGAGATATAGATCGGGACAACTGGAGATGGCCCAGGATGCTGAGGGGGCCCCCTCTATTAAGGAAATATTATAAGCGAAGTCATCCATGTGGGTTGTATTAAGAACTTACACTGGGGTAATGACAATAGGAGGGAAAGAGAGATATGATAGAGTTACAATAACAGGACTCCATAACCAATTAGACACAAGTATTCAGGAGAGGGAAGAGTCAAACACTAGGGCTTTGGACAGGGGTAGGTGAATACATCTAACAAAAACAGGGTCACATAGCGCATAGAGCACCAGCCCCAGAGTCAGGAAGACTCATCTTCCCCAGTTCAAATCTGGCCTCAGACACTTACTAGCTCTGTAACCCCGGGCAAGTCACTTAACCCTGTCTGCCTCAGTTTCTTCATTTGTAAAATGAGCTGGAGAAGAAAACGGCAAACCACTTTAGTCTTCTTGCCAAGAAAACCCCAAATAGGGTCATGAAGAGTCAGACAAAACAGAAAATGACTGAAGAATAACAAGAAGACATTGCACGTTATTAGCTACTAAACATGTCAAAGCCCCATCTAGTCCAACTTCCTCATATTTTGGGTAAGGGAAATTTAAGTAACTTGTCTGAGGTCACAAAGGTAGTAATTGTCAGAAGGTGGGACTTTAACCAAGGTCCTTTGGCTTCAGAGTCAATGGCCTTTCCATCGTACCATATTCCTCTACTGTCTAGTTTGGTACTCAGCACACAGTAGGTGCTTAGTGTTTGTTGAATTGAACTTAATTGTATTGGCAGCATAATGCCCACCAAAGCACACCCGCTCTGGATTCTGGGCCCTTTTACTTCACAGAAACAACTCTCTTGGATTAGGACATAACAGCAATCCTTGAGTTACCTCACTTTAGTCAGTCAATCAACAAGTAGGTATTACGGACCTGCTATGGACCAGGTGCCATGCTAATAGTAGGGGTACAAAGAAAAACAAAAAACAATTCTTGCTGTTAAGAAGATCATAGAATGAGGAGACAACAAACATGCAAACTATGCACAAACAAAATATATAGAGAGAAAGACAATCATTGGAGGGAAGGCCCTAGGGGAATTGAGGAGAATGGAGAAAGGCTTCTCGTAGAAGACGGGATTTGAGGGGGACTTGAAGGAAGTGAGGGTGGCCAGGAGTCAGAAAGGAGGAGGGAGAGAATTCCAGGCACGGAGGAGAGTCAGTCAGTGAAAATGCCCATAATTGGGAGATGGAGTATCTTGTTTGAGGAATGGCAAGGAGGCCAATGTCACTGGATCACACAGGACTGGAGAACAGCAAGGTGTAAGAAGATGGGAAAGATAGGAGGGGGTCAGGTTATTAGGGCTTTCAAAGGCCAAATAGAGGATTTTATATTTGATCCTGGAAGTTATGGGAGCTATTGGAGTTTATCAAATGGAGGGATGACATGGGCAGAACTGCACTTTAGAAGTTGTGGTTGTTGGGTCTTCATTTTTGAAGGGGACCAATGACATCCTGGGTGATGTCTTGACATTGGCATGACTTGGATTTAAATGAGGCAAAGTTGCATAAAGTCATCTACCTCATTCCCTCTTCCAGAGTCATCTAAGTCCAGTGTCAAAACAAAAGTTGGGACGACTGGTGATGGTCTGGGATACAGTGGATGACTTTGTTGTCTTTGATGTCTGACCAAGGTCTAAGTGTTCCACAGTGCCTACTTCAGCCTCCTTCATGGCCATTGGAACAGATTATTCTCATCCTCCCATTCCCATTTTGCCAGAGGAAGTTTTCACATGCTTGGAGTGGACACCCCTCTAACTCACCAACTGGTTTGAGGCCTGTTGGTCACCCTCAATCTGGTTTAGCCAGTCTGCTGAGAAGATTTTACTGGGGTATGGCTGCTACAGCTCCTTGGAGCCATAGGTCAGACCTCTCCTTTAGGAAGATCATTTTGACAGCTGAGTGGAGGAGGCGATAGACACAAATCAGGGAGATCAACAGGAGGCTATTGAAATAGTCCAGTTGGGAGGTGATGAGGGCTTGCACTATGGTGATGGCAGTGTCAGAGGAGAGAAGGGAACATATATGAGATGTTAGAAGGTAGAACTGACAGGACTTTATAACAGATTGGTTATAGATTAGAAGAGTGAGGATTCAAGGATTACACCTAGCTTTTGAGCCTGGGTGACTGAGAAGATGATGGTATCCTCAACAGTAAAAGGAAAGTTAAGAAGAGGGGAGGGCTTAGGTAAGTTTGAGGTGCCTATGGGACACCCATTTCAAAATGTCAGATAGGTACTATATCAGATTGCATGCCATCTTAGGGAGGGAGGGGGGGGAAATTTAAAATTAAAAAACTTATGGAAGTGATTTTTTATAAATCAAAATAAATTAATAAAAAAAGATGTCAAATAGGCAGTTGCAGATGTGAGAGTGGAGGTTAGCAGGGAGGTTAGGGCTGGAGAGGTAGATCTGAGAATCCTCTACATAGAGATTATTGAATCCGTGGGAGTTGATAAGATCACCAAGTGAAAGAGTATGGAGGAAGAAGAGAAGATGACAGGACAGAGTCTTAAGGGACACCCAACATTAGTGGGTGTCCAGCTACTGGATAAAGATCCAGCAAAGTCAACTGAGAAGGAATGTTTAGACAGGTGTTCATTAAGGTGTTTTTCCCTCATCAGGAAAAAAAAAACCAAGAAAACAAACCAACCTTTCCTTGACCCTGACATTTCTTCAAGCAGCCATTTTTACTTTCTTGCTCTTCACTGTTAAACATTTACTAAGAATAGACTACACTTTGCTACCTCTACTTCCTTACCACCCACTCACTCTTCCATCATTTGGCTTCTATGTGCACCATTCTCCTCCATCAGCAAAGAATCAAACAGAATTAATAGTTACCCGGATTTGACCAGACACTCATGAGTCTTGAGTACATCTTTCAGAAGGATGGTTCGCAGAGGCTCTCTGTCCTGGGGAGAGAGACAGAGTAAGGTGGGGTAAGTCCATCTATCTCTATCCAAGAACCAACTGACACCTTTCTCCTCTTCCTTACACAGGGTCACTCAGAATTTGTTCTGATTTGGTGGCAGAGATCTCCAAATCTATGTAGGATGAAAAGCAACAAAATGCAAAATGAACCCGAATATGGCCTCAGAGATGGCTAGAAATCAGACCTGTGTGACCTGGAGCAAGTCATTTCATCTCTCTCACCTCAGTTTTCTCATTTGTTAAATGGAAAGGTTGGACCACATGATCTTTATGATTCTTTCCAGCTCTAAATCCTATGAGCACATGAATTCCTTACATGGATGGGAAATTTGAGAAGGAAGCAAACAAAACATGGCACCCTTCGTAAATGTGAGAAGGAAAGGAGACTAGGGATAGAAATCTATGCATTAGAGGGGCAACTGAGAAAGTGGGGCAAATTTCTATATTCATGCCTGTGATGGTGGTGTCAGTGTAACCCATGTACCCATAAATTTATGTAGGCACAAATGTACCCAGGAGGCTAAAGGATTCTGTAGCTACCGCTACTCACCTGTTCACACTTGAAGTACGAGAGGGAGAAATCATCAAGAGCAAAGAAACGACGTTTCCAGTTCTTTCTCTGAAATAGAAGAGAGATGGATGTCTCTGTGTACATAGCTCCCATCCTGGGTGACAGGATCTAAGATAACAATGTTATATGGCATAGTATTTGAAGTAGTGAGTCTTGTCATTTACTAGGTTTGCAACCTTAGGCAAGCCTTATATACCTGTCTGAGCCTCAGTTTCCTAATATGTAAAATGAAAATAATACTAGCACTTGCCATGGTGAGGATGAAATGAAATTATATATTTTGCCTCGCAAATGTTAATGGGCTGTACCAATGTTAGCTATTGTGATAGCTAGTAATTACATATATCACAATTACATGCATAGCATAAGATTATAAATGTTATTATAATTACTATTATTATGGCCAAGCTTACAGGAATGTTTTGACTCTAAAACAAGATGGTGGATATAAACCTTAAAGGGCTACACAAATGTGAGGGTGAGGAGAAGGAGGAAGATGGGGAAGAGAAGGAAAAAGAAGAATCCTTACTCTTCCAAGGCGATATTGGCCTTTTAGATTGTAGGTCTAATACTCTGAATATTCTGGGTAAAGAAACCATTTTAAATAAGTTGACATCTCATCCTAGCATAATTTTTATCTCTCCCCACAAGCCTCTATGGTCCCGCAATTCAATTCAATAAACATTTATTAAATGCCTACTATGTGTCAGGCATTGTGCTAAGTGTCAGGCAAGAGACAGTCCCTGCCCTCAAGGAACTTACAATCTAATGGAGGAGACAACATGCAAAGAAATATCTACAAAGCAAACTATATACAGGATAAATGGGAAAGCATTGGAATTAAAAGGTATTAGGGAAGGCTTCCTATAGAAGGTGGGATTTTAGTTGGGGCTTAACAGAAGCCATGGAGGTCAGTAGTCAGCGTGGAGGAGGGAGAGCATTCCAGACATTGGGGATGGCCAGGGAAAATGCCTGGAGCCAAGAGGTGGAATGTCCTGTTTATGGAACGGCCAGGAGGCCAATGTCATTGAATTAAAGAGCATGTACTGGGGAGCAAGCCCTAGGAAGGGGCTAAGTAATGAAGGGCTTTGAATGCCAAGGTTTGGCCCTAGGCCCAATGTTGGCACTTACCACATTCCCCTGTTTCACACAATAGCCGCTTTTAAGGAGGGGTGGTCCTGCTGGGGCTCGGCAGCCTGAAGTAGGGATGTAGCTCTGAGACCTTCGGAGGATGGCATGGTGGCCTTGCACACCTGCATCTGTCCCATCCCCGCCATTCTACAAGAGAACAGCCCCACGAGTCAGTAGCTTTTTCTCATCCCACAAACTCTGACTCATTCTCTACTTTAATCCCTTTACCCTTCTCCTACCTCAGCCAAACATTTGGATTTCCCCATAAGAACAACATTTTCTCTTACTACCAAGACAAGGCTGTTGCCTCAGAGAGGTCAATCAAGGCTGGGAAAATAGGAAGGAGCAGAGGTGACTCTAATCAGAAGAATTGTGCACGTGTAATCTACATACACACACATATACACACATGCATATCAGAAGTACGTGTATATGTATATATGCACACACATATAGCTCAAATTTGCATCTTTATGATCTAGCCACTGGAGGGCAGAGTAGAGAAGGGTGGAGAAGGTGACAAATAAGAGAGGGAAGGGACCCCAGTATACATGTTCTCAGCTTGGCCCTTTTCCTCTGTCCCTAATCTCACATAAGATCCATTATGGTACTAGGTACTGGTTTGAGGCAGGTAGGTTGCACAATAGATAAGAGTGTGGGACCTCAAATAAGGAAACTTGAGTTCAAGTTCTTCCTCAGAACTCTTAGTAGCTGTGTGACATTGGGCAAATCACCTAACTACTGTCTGCCTCAGTTTCCTCAAGAAAATGGAGATAATAATAACACCCACCTCCCAGGGTTGTTGTGATGATCAAATGAGATAATATTTGTAAAGCACTTTGCAAAGCTTAATGTGCTATATAAATGCTAGATTTTGTTATTGTTATTCTCATATTTGGCTATATTCTAACATAACAGAAGCAGAGGGCTAGTATTTCTGTCACCAACGTAGCGCCCCACTATCTCTGCATCCCCACCAATTAAAGCCACTTCATAGCAATCACTTTCCAGGTGCTAGGGAAGACCTCAGACCTTTAAAGGTCAGGGTTCTCTTGCCCACAAACACTATCTGTAGCTCTTCTGAATCCTTAATCCAAGATATAATCTGAGACACATTTTTTGCAGATGTCACATCAGTGACATCACACCCTTGGTTTTCCCAAACAGTAGCCCCATCCCCACCCCCCATTCCGTTTATACCTGGTTGATGGGCGTGTGTACCACAACCCCACCAATGATCTCTGTCTTATATGCCACCTGTAGCTTTTTTTCTAGGGGCTGAGAAATTGCTGGGCTCTTGGCAACCTCAGTAGCCAGGGGCAGGCTCCCCACTTTGGGTACCTGGAAGGAGAGGAAGTGCAGAAAGCTTTAATATAGAAGATAGCAGAAAATGCCAGAACTGGGACTCAGTGGAAGAATGGGGTCATCTAACTATTGAGTTCATTGCTCTTTTGATGACAACTGCCTCTTAGGTATACACAGAAGAACAAACAGCAAATTGAAGATTTCAGGAGCAAATTGCAGATTGAAGGGAATCTGCTAAGGTGAATGCTTTTGAAGACCCCCTGGGTCCTGTCAGCAATAGGACCTATGAGCTGGCAGTCCCAGTAGCCTCTGATGACTCAGTTTTTACATCTGAATACAGGAGTATTATGCCATTCCTGTCCCTACATATATTCCCTCCTCTTCAATCCCCTCATCCACCTATTATAAACAGAGCTCTGTCTGGGGAAAGAACCTTTCTCCTTCTTTTTGGTGGTTAGGAAACTGTGTCTGATTAGGATCTGGTCTAAAATAAAGTGTCCATACTCTAACACCCCCGTCCTATCTTATATAGACACAGAACCAGAATGCTAGGAAGCATAAAGCAGTCAATACCTCTTACACATTCTAGTGAGATAGTTAGATAGCTCAGGGCATTGAGTGTGCTGGACTTAGAGGCAAGAAGACCTGAGTTCGAAACCTGCTGCAGAGACTTACTATCTGTGTAACCTAGGCAAATTACTTAACCTCTCTCTGCCTCAGTTTCCTCCTCTGAAAAATGAAGTACTCATAACAACACCTACAGCCCCGGCGTCATTAGGAAGATCAAACAAAATAACAAGTGAAATGTTTTGCAAACTTTAAAGTACTGTGTAACTGCTATCTATTATTTATCATCATCATTATTAACATCACTATATTTTGACCTCTCCAAGACTGAACAGTGACCCCTGAGCAGTGAGATCAACAGGGCAGGCAAAACCAAACCAAAACAAAACCAAACCACCAGCCTTTACAAAGGCAGCTGCTATACAAAACATAGTCATTAGCACTGCACCAGGAATCACACCATTCAGTCTCTATGCAAAGAGAACGCCCAGGTTCAGGTTGGGTCTCAGTGTGCAAAAGCAGAAAAACAGAGATGATTCTTGCCCTGAGAACTCGGTTAAAATACACACAGAACCCTCCCCCTAGAGACCACCAACTGAATGGAGGGGCAGGAACTCCAACCAGGGCTTTAGAAGATAAAGGCAGAATTAAAAGTTAATTTGAGGCTGTAGCACATTGAGCAAGCCCCTAATTTCTATGGATTCCCATGTCCAATAAATTAGCACTGAATTCATACACTAAGGGCATCCAGGCTTTCTAGTCTAACCCATATCTGAATGGGTACACGATGCCAACAAGTAGCCATCCAGTCTCTGCTTGAAGACCTTTAGTGATGGAATCCCCACTGCCTCCTGAGCTAGGCCAATGTACTTTTGACAATTGTCATAGATGAGGAAGTCTTCCTCCCAACAAGTTGAAATCTACCCTTCCTCAACTTCCACCCATTGTACCTTGTTCTTCTACCTCCCTTTGGTCATCTGCAAATTTGATCAATGTTACCTATGCTTTCATTCAAATTATCAATAAAAATGTTTAACATGACTAATATGGATATATGTTTTACATGATTGCACATAAGTAATCTATATCAAATTGCTTACCATCTTAGGTAAAGGGGAGGAGAGGGAGAAAATTTGGAACTCTTTTTTTTTATAAAAAATGAATGTCAAAAATTGTCTTTATGTGTCATTGGAAAAAAAAATACTATCTAGTGGGGGAAATTTTTTCAAAAATGTTTAAGAAGAAAATCCCAAAGACAGATCCTAGAAGGATTCTACTGGAAACCTCCCTCCAGGTTAACATTAATTCATTAGTGGCTACTCATTGGCTTCAGTCATTTAACCAGTTCTAAGTCCATTTAGCTCTATTAACATCTAGCCCAAACCTCACTATTTTGTTTACCAGCATAAAAAGGAAAACTATGTCAAATAAATGCTTTGCTGAAATCTGGCACTCCTCCTCTTATTCCCTACTTCCATCTGCATTATAAATTGGACAAAAGCCTGGCAGAGAAAGTGGGTCTCTGACACCTGGAGTACACTCTATAGTTCCTCCTTTTCAAAACAATCCAGAATTCTCATCCTCTTTTTTAATCCACCACACTTTTTAAAAAAAATCACCGTAATTTCTCACCCTTCCCCTAACCCCTTAATAGCTGACCTCCTGGAGATGAACTTACTTAGCTGGCCTAATTCTCAGAGAGTAGATAAAGTCATTCCCAGACCACTTTTCCCACATTTCTCTGAGCATGACTATGTGTCACAGAACCTTTAGGATGAGTGGGTTTTGTTCTAATTTCTTTCATTGGTTCCATAAGAAACAACTCCTAGAGAGTAGAATGGAGAACAAACCTAAACTGGGAGAAAGGCTGTAGCCTACGGAGAAGAAAGTCCCCAGAGAGCAGGTGACATGAGCAATGGTGATGTCAGCTTTCACAATGACGAACTTGGGAAAAGTTTTTGTTTTCTGTTCCTGGCTGTCAAACCATCTGAAGGAAGACAGGAAGCCATCACCAGGATTTCTAGAATACTGCTTGCTCCTGACCAACAAACAAGAACACAGGGAGGCTCTTGTTCACTATTCTTAGTCTTTAAATATGGTTCCATAAATTTCTTATGGCTCTCATCGGTATCATGCACCTTCTCCATCTAGGACACCTACCAGAGTAACTTTACAGACTCATAGAATTGTAGAAATAAAAAAGAGGGGTCCAAGAGGAAGTCAATTCCACAAGGTCATAGCTAATTAATGTCAGCGCAAGGCTTCCCAATTCTCAGACCACGTCTTTTCCCAACTGCACCACAGGTGCTAGAGTTGGGGCAGGGGGAGTCCCAGGGTTTATGGGGAACCTCTACCATAGCCCCAGGTGGTGAGAGGTCTTTTGGCTAGGAGCCATTTCCTGAAAGAGAAGTTGGAAGTGAGGAGGTGGGCAGCTAAGTGGAGGCAGCCCCCAAAGAGGCAGGGCCTTTTGGGGTGAGGAAGAGAAAGAGAGAGAGAGTGAGAGAGAGAGAGAGAGAGAGAGAGAGAGAGAGAGAGAGAGAGAGAGAGGAGCAATGGTACCTGAGGGCAAATAGAGAAAAATCCATGATTACAAGAAACAAGCCAGAATTCCCAAGCACAGAGATTGAAATCTGGAAAAAGTCAAGTGAAGGTGCCTTGGGATGAGTGGACAAAGCTGGTCCAAAAGCCTCCACCACATCCAGTGAACGATGAGAGAGCCCAAGTTCTGAAAATGCTTTTAAAGAGCTACTTTGCTAGAGGACTTGATATAGACTATGACGCGACTAATATCCACCAATGTTTCCCCACAAGAGGAGTTAGGCCCAGCCCTCTTCCTTCCCTCCTTTAGTTTTCCCTAAAAAAAGAGACAAAGCTATCCCTGGTATTTGATTGGCTCTTGCCTACCTTGACACAACTTCCTTCACCTGAGGGCATAAAAAGCCTGGACCACATGTAGTCAGGCCCTGGATGAAGACCATGCAAGTCACCATGTCCTTCATCATATCCTGACCTTATGACCAAACACATTTCTATATGGAGATGAGAAGGGAGTTGTGTCCAGAAAAGGTAAGTACCACTGTACTCTCGTAGCATATCTTTGCTGTTTTAAGGCAGTGGTGAACTGTTCAATGACTTATGAATGCCTCATTTCATCCTAACATCAAATCTGAACCAAGGGGGCTGCCATTAGAAATGTTTCCAATACAGTCCATTCGCCTGTATCCTGAGCCATGACAGGACTATTAAGAATACAGGGTTGGTAGGAACCTCAAAGGCAGTTGCCTCTTTGTAATGGGGGAGACCTTTAGTTCACCCATCCTGTGTGACGTTGAGTGAATCATTTAATACCTGAGCTTCAATTTTCTTGTCTATAAAATTTTGGTTTTTAAGTCAACCTTCCAGCTCTATATCTACTGTCCTATGATCCCTCATGATATGGTAGCTGCTATTAGAAAGACATTCCTAGAGAATCACCTACATTGCCTAGTTTGGTGTCCTTTTCACTGCACAATTTTCAAAGCCTTCCAGGGAATATGTGTGATTCACTGATATAGACATTTCTTAAAATAGCATATACTCATCAGGAGTGATATATTTTTATTGTAATAACTTGCTATCTTCAGGAATCATCAGATTTAGAGTGAGAAAAGACCTTCAACATTATCTAGTCCAATCCCCTCATCTTAGATGATAAACAATGAGGCCTAGAAAGAGGAAGAGAGTTGCCCAAAGTCGCATATAGGAGCAGAACTGACGATCAGGCCATGTGAGGAGATGCTGAAAGATCTAGGATGCTTAGCTTTGGGGAAAAAAAAGGAGTTCTGATACCTGTGTCCAGGTACTTGAAGGCCTGTCATATAGAAGTCAAATTAACATTGTACTGCTTGGCCCCAGGGGGAAGAACTGAGAACAGCCTGTGGACATGGACATGGCAAAGAAGCAAATTAGGTTTGATATAAGTAGGCATGTGTTGGAGGCTCAGAACCTATTGTTAAAATTTCAGTGTGAGTATTTACACCTTGGAATAGCAAATGCTTTAAATCAGGGCTTGATTTATTGTTTCTTTTAATTGCCCTAAAATTGAGAAAGTGATTGAGAAAATGTTAATATTGCAGATTAAATTTAAAAGTATATCTTGTGCTCTGAAGGGCTAGCTGTTAAACGTTTACCAGCAAACTCCTGGATGTAAGGGAACACTTTCCTAACAACAAAAGCCATTCAAGAGGAGGCAGACTTCAGAAAAACCGGGAAAGACTTGAATAAACTGATGCTGAGTGAAGTGAGCAGAACCAGGATAATGTTGTACACAGTAACAGCCACGTTGTGCTGTTACTAACTTTGATAGAATTATCTCTTCTTAGCAATACAAGGATCTAAGACAGCTCCAAAAGACTCATGACGGAAAATGCTATACACATCCAGAGAAAGAACCCTGGAGTCTGAATGAAGATCAGAGCATGCTATTTGCTCTTCTTTCTTGCTTTGTTTTGTTTTGTTTCTTCTTTCTCATGATTCCTCCCTTTTGTTCTAATTCTTTACATGACAAATGTTAAAATAGGTTTAATATGAATGTATATGTTTAAAGTCCATATCAAATTGCATGCAGTCTTTGAGTAGGGGGAGGGGAGGGTTGGGGAGAAAATTTGGAACTCAAAATCTTATGGAAGTGAATGTTGAAAACCAAAAATAAGTAATTAAAAAAACAGACAAACAAGCAAGAGCCATCCAAGTAGACAATTTCATGTATGCTGCAGTAGGAATGCTATCTGAGGTGTAAAGTTAAAGTAGATAACCTCTGAATTCTTTTCAAGTCCTGAGATTCTATGATTCCATGAAAACCTCCTAAGAGAACTTATTTGTAGAGAGCCAGGGGAGACAAATTTGTCCAAGCATACATTTGATGTTAAAAGAATTGTGCCTTAACCTTTCTAAACAGAACAGTGCACCATTCATGAGTAATACAATTAGAAAATAGGAAGTCTGATAGCATTAGGTAGAAATTCTGACACCCACAAAGCAGACAGCTTCTCAGTACACATCAATACACACACATTCAGTGACACTCCCTCTCTCTGTCTGTTCTACTCCTTTATGAGAATACTCAAAGGAGACATGATTTTGTTGGAATCGGGGGAACTCCCTTCATTAAACCAGGGCAGACTCAAAACTCTTCTAAGACTTAGCAGTCTTAATGAGCCTGAAGTCCAGAGTGACACACTCTCCAATCTTCAATCTCTCCTTTCTCCATTGAGTCCTTCCCTGAAGCCTACAAATGCATCCAAGACTTCCTCATCCTAAAATTAAAAATAAAAAACAAAACAAAACACCCCAAACTTAATTTGACCTGATGATTCCAACTAGCTTTAAATCCCTATCTCTTTATCTCATTCATGACTAATCTTGAGAAAGCTATCTAGACAAGGTGCCTCAACTTCTGCTCTTACCCTCTTCTAAACCTTCTGCAAACTGGTTTGCAACTGCATCATTTAACTGAAACATCTCTCCAAAGTTGCCAGCAATCTCTTAATTGCCAAATCTAATGGCCTTTTCTCAATATTTATCCTTCTTGGCCTCTGCTGCCTTTGATACTGTAGCCCCGTCTATTCTCCTGAATACTTTCTTTCCTAGGTTTTTCATGACATGGCCCTCTCTTGATTCTTTTCTTACACGTCTGACCACACTTCCATCTCCCTTGCTAGCTCATCTATGTCATACTCACTAACAATGGATGTTCCCCCCAAGGCTCTGTCCTGGCCTTCTCCTTTTTTCTCTTTATAATCCCTCACTTAATGATCTCATCAGCTCTCATGGGTTTAATTATCATCTCTATGCAGGTGTTTCTCACATCTATGTAACCAGCTCTAGTTTCTCTCCTGAGCTCTCTCCTGCGTCACCAACTGCCATTCGTACATCTCAAACTGGATGTCCCCAAAGGCAAAAAAATTCAACATTTTCAAAACAGAACTTATTATCTCTCCCCCAAAAAACACTCCCTCTTCTTGACTTCCCTGCTACTGTCAAGGGCACCAATATTCTCCCACTTACCAAAGTGCATAAACTTAGTCATAGCATCCTCAACTCACTCAACATATCTAGCCTGTTGCCAAGTATTGTTGGATTTTTTAAAGATATTTTCACAAAGCCTGTTCATGTATGGTCCCTTCTCTCCCCTCACATATCCACCATTCTTGTTCAGGCTGTTATCACCTCTACCCCACGGGAAAGGTACAAAAGGATATTATGATATCCTTTTAAATGGTCTCTTCTATCTCCACTCCAATGTATTTTCTACTCAGCTGTCAAAGTGACTTACCTAAAGCAAAAGTTCAACCATATTATTTTCTTATTCACCAAACCCCAGTGGCTCCCTGTTACCTGCTAGATCACATATAAAGCCCTCCGTTTGTGTGTGTGTGTGTATGTATGTATATGTATATGACATATCTACATATATATTTATATACACACACACATGTGTATGTATCTCCTAGAGAAAACTTGTTATTTGTATGTTGTCTTTCAATTAGAAAGTGAGTTCCCTTAGCTTGATTTTGCCTTTCTTTGTATGTCTAGTGCCTACATGGTACCTGCCACATAAGTGCCAAAGGCTGGTTTTGCAATCAGGCCTTCCTTTCTCCAAGCCTAGGGATTTTGCTGTTCAACCAGGCTACCTCATCTTCTGATCCTGTACAGGTCTGAAAATATTTTCTTGGAGGATTCTTCTACATGCAAATAGAGGAAGATGACATGAACATTAAAGCAATCACTCATCAAGGTTCAGTGATTCTTCTAAAGGAAGCACCTTTAAACCACAAACTGCCTTTGTTGCTCTGGGCTCATCTACAAAAGCAGCATTTGGCCAAGCAACCCCTTGAAGTGAGAGGAGGAGCCAGGATGGTGAAAGAGTTCCGACTTCTCTCCTCCCCCGTCCCATATGCTTCATCCTTCACTTTTCAATATAAGGAAAGCACTTGGTAATTCTTAAAGTGTTCTATAATTACTGGTTACTACTATTATTGTTACCACACTTTGAGCCTGAGTTATCCCCAAAATTACCCAAAATATGACTGATCATAAACCTTCCTAGGAATTCTGAAGTGATCCTGCCACAGAGGGGACTCTCCATGAACTTCTCCCTGGCTGGAACTGAATCTCAAACTCTCAGTTCAATTTGTGGTCAATCAATCATGGTGCAAGAATACGTTGCTAGAACGAAGAGGGGAGTAGGTCAATTGGGAAAGCCCCTATGCTTGTACAAAGTTCTTTCCTGTATCAATTAGATCTTGGGCTGGAAAAAAAAAAGGTTCTTTTGCTTACACCAAAGATGGGAAAGGAACCATACATACTGTGATCTTGCTGGCTTGGTTCAGTGCCTCTACCCAATCCTTCAAGTCTTTCTGGTCATTGGCTTGTAGGAAATAACGCTGAGAAAGGGCATTGATGACTGCAGACAGGCAGGCAACAAGATAAAAAGAAAATAAATCCCCAATCAGTATTCCGGCAACAAACAGAGGCATCAATGAACAAGTCATCTTTGGGATCCACAATGCAGACCAGGCAAATTTCCATGACACCAGGTCACTGTGAAGCGTTCAGAGAAGAAAAGACTATTGCTACTCTCAACTCTGCTCTAAAAGTATATCTTACTTCACTAGGAAAATGTATACTACTCTGCTTCCCAATATGCTGATCTTCATCTACAAAGACGATCAAAAAGACACAACCTTGGATTTCTTTTCCAAGAGTAGTAATGGATTTATAATGATACATCCTCTTTCTCTTAACCAGTATCCCTTATTATCAGTGGCACGTTGACAAGTGGTTAGAATGTAGTTACCTGTGAAATAATGTCCAAATCCAACCCATGATACTGGGCTTGGTAGTGGCAAGCTCTAAATGACTGGGCTACCTAGGCTTCTTTTGGGCCAATAATTTATTTATGAGCTCCCTTTGTTTTTGTTTGGCTAGGCTGTGTATGGAATCCAAGGAGTCACTTACCAATATTTTTGAGCTGTGCAATGAACAAAATTTCTGAATGGCAAATATAGGATTTTGTTTTACAATAAGTTTTATTGATGCCTTTTATTTTGATATCATAATCATTTCTATAAATGAGCCATTCTGTCTCCCACATTACCCCATTCCCATTCCTGTCAAAACTGAATCCTCTTTGGGAGCAAAGAAAAAGTGAAGCAAAGGCAGTCATCACATCTGACTATGTATACCATATTCTATCCTAGTAGAACTTTGCCTCTCTGCTAAGAGGAATGAAGCATACCTCTTAGTCTGTTCTCTGGGATCACTACCAATTTTTTACTGCTTCACATTCTTATTTCTTTTTAGTGATCTTTTCATTTGCATTGCTGTAGTGATTGTGCATATTCAATACTAGATGTTAAACCATTCTAGGTAGTGGGGGAAGGAGGGAAGAGGCTAATTTATTTCCTTTATAATACTTGAATCTTAATTTAATCTTTATAATACTTTAATCTCAATAATACTGTGATTCCTTCAATATGGGTATACCCTTTTCTGCTTATATGGACTATGATCACTCCATGCCTCAATAAACCTGGTGGCCAATCTGCTGGTGATGAGACTCTCTGAACTTTGTGAGGATGGTCTTCAGATAACGATCTGGCTCTGGCCCATATTGAAAGCTTTTTTCAAATTGGTAGGACACGTCAGAGTTTACAGAGCCCTGGTATAGCAATCCTGAACCCACAGTTACCTCTGTGCCACAGTGAAGCCTCTATTCTAGTCAGGTTTTAGTGAATGTGAATTATATGGGGAGGAAAATCCCATGGAATAGACATAGAATCCAAAGCCACAAGACAAAGAGACAGTAGGAATCCTGGCTGCCCTTTTAGTGTGCCAATCACAGATTTAAAGTAGGAAGGGACCTGAGAAATCATCCAGTCCAAACTCCTCCTTTGATTTTTTGTTTCGTATCCCTCATTTTGCAGATATAAAACTGAGGTCTGGAGAGCTTAGTGATTTACTGATGCCTAGAATCAGGATTCCAACCCAAATCCTGTTGCTAAATCCAGCAATTTTGTCCTCCACTGTTCCATGCTGCCTCCTCCTTGCCACCTGTTACAGTGCTGTTCACATAGCGAGCTCCTAACATACCATGGCAGTGGTGGCTGATAACTAATTTCTGTGACATCCTTTGTAGTTGATCGCTTAATAATAGTCTCTGAACCTGCCATCAGAGAGGTCTTACAACGTGAATATCTGTTGAACACCTGAGATCCCATATTAAGGGCCCTGGAAACATACATACATATGTATGTATATGTGTATATATTTTGTAGTTGGTCAGTCATTTCAGTAGTGTCCAACCAACTCTTGTGACCCCATGTAGGGTTTTCTTGGCAAAGATTCTGGAGTAGTTTGCCATTTCCTTCTCCAGCACATTTTGCAGATAAGGACACTGAGCCAAACAAGTGACTTCTCGGGGTCACACAGGTAGTGAGGCCAGATTTGAACTTATGAAGATAGATGAAGATAGAGCTTCCTGACTCCAAGCCTGGAAACTGAGGCAAACAGGATTAAGTTACTTGCCCAGTGTCACATAGCTAGTGAGAGTCTGAGGCCACATTCGAACTCAAATCTTCCTGTCTTCAGGCCCAGCACTCTATCTGCTCTACCAACTAGCTGTCCTGTGTGTGTGTGTGTGTGTGTGTGTGTGTGTGTGTGTGTGTGTGTACTATTGATATAATATTATATATAACATAGATATTTTATTTCTAATCTGCCAGGGCCAGGAGGACTGAAATATCATTGTGACTCTTCTCTAGTCCCTACATGGCTAGAGTAATTCTTCCTGGGAGGAGGTATTCTGAAGAGAAGTCAGAAAGACCTGGGTTCACATGCTGCTACCTACATTAGTTGTATGACCATAGGCAAGTCATAACCTCTCTCAAGCCTCATATAATGTGTGCTCCGTGAAGCATTTAGCTAACTTGTAAAGGTCAGTTATTGGTATCAGTATCTCTTAAGACTCAAAAGATGCTGCTGTGACTGCAATCTCTCTCTCTCTCTCTCTCTCTCTCTCTCTCTCTCTCTCACACACACACACACACACACACACACACACACACACGAAAGTTCACTGATCTCAGAGACACAAGACAACCTCTGCCACTCACTAGATGTGTGACTTTAGACAGGTCACTACCTGTCTCTGAGCCTCAGGTTTTATCATTCTCTGTGAGTGGATTGGACTAAATGATTGTGAAAGTGCCTTTCAGTTTATATAATCTATGTCGATTCCCATAGATACACTCAAGTCTGACTTGACATGTGGTCACAGGACTGTTACTATGCAGGAAGCAATTATGAGAACCAACAAGAATTTCTTTCCCCAGGGCAGTATACTACTTACCAAAGCAAAATGGAGTTTTGGGTTTCTGTTTTGGAGTGGCTATATTCACCTAAAAACAAAGATAGTGAGATTTATACACATGATATATAGATATTGGTGTAGATACATATATCATATAATATATAATCAGATATATATAGTATATATAATACAGAGACAGAGAGCTAGAGAGGCAGAGAGACAAAGAAAAAGATGGACGTAGAGATAGAGACAGAGAGAGAGAATATGTACATCTCCTGAAGCTATGAGGCCCACCAAGACTCTGGACCCCAATATCTGCATTGGTTACATTTACACTTACTAATATGTGAGCCCCACATTTCAGGTTCAAATAAACCAAGGGATGAAGAAAGCAACCCATCACCATTGTTCCTCCACTCTCCACCCGATTAGGTTAGCTGCTCTTGATATGGATCCCAACCAAATATCTGTGGCATTTTTAAAGAAGTAGTCATGTTCTATGTTAACATCAGGATCTCCTTGTCACATTTCCCAGCTCTGTGTGCATACACAGCAGTCAGGATCCCTCTAGCTAAAGAAATAACACTGTTTGGCCAGGGTCTGAGGGCTTTTGCTACCACATAGGCACACCCTGAAGGCTTTAATGATCAGGTCTGACACGCAATTGCCAGTCCTCTCACCTTTTCTTCCCAGCCAAAAGCACTCACTTACTTGTTCTCATCTACGGGTTCTGCTCGGTCACAGACTGGGGCTGATTCCATCTCTGACAGGAAGCATGTAAGGAGCTCATGGCTTAGAATGTAAGTTCATTGAGAATAGAGATTGTTTCATTCTTTGCACCTCTATCTTCAGCACTCAGCACAGTGCCTGGTGCAGAGCAAGCACTTCATAGATGCTGGTTGATCAACTGATTACAGTGAGGACAACTTTCTGCCTCAAGATCAAGTTCATGTTACAGTATTTTGGCATTGCTTATATTATCAACCCATTGTCCGGCCTTGACTTTTGGTTGATAGCACAACGCCTTATCTTGTCTCCTCCTTTCTCTCTGGCTTCCTGAATCTACTTCACCCTGACAGTATGTTCAGTTTCCTCATCGATAAAATGGAAATGATCATATTCTCACTACCTACCTCACAGAATTATTATAAAGCTGAAAAGATGAGATGTAAGCTATTCATATACTTATCACTTTTGTTTCTCTAGTTGAAACTCTTAACAACTTAATTGACTCAATAGACTCCTCTCTTATGTTACGGTGTATACAGTAGAAAGAGCCCTGGATTTGAAATCAAGAGAATTCAGTTGTAAAATGAAGCAGGATTGGACTACTTGCCCATAAGGTGCCAACTAAGCCTAGCCTTTAATGGTATCCTCAGATTTCACCTGCCTGTTTGGTTAGAAACCAATGCTTGCTGTCATCTTCAGTGGCCTGTGACGACTACTTGTTGCTTGGTTACCACCCTACATTCCCAGTCTTGGCTCTCCAAGTCCAGGCCAACTGTTCTTATCTTATAGTCCTAGATGAGATTGAGACTAGTCCATATTGTCCATGGAAAGACCATTACCTCAAGAATCTACCTCTAGTTTATTAGTTTACAATATTTGCTTACTTCTTAGCAACCAGCATCCATCTCTGTCCCAGGAAACTACCATCTTCATGGTGTTCTGATAGCAAATGAAATTTCTTCAGCTGTCCAACTCATTAGCCAGGATGTAGCATGAGATTTGACCAGCATCCTACTTATGGGGATTCACTAGAGAGCAGTAGTGTCAAATACGTGTACCACAGTCCTCCCAAGTGCATCCCAAACCAGATTAAAATGTAATTGGGAAATATTTAACAAAACAAATAAAAATTCAATAAAACAGAAATAATGTTAATATGTGGTTTTCTAAGTCAATATGCAGTCTATTGGAATCCTTATAGTATCAGGTTGGAGGCCCCCTTTCTATTGGAGTTTGACACACTGTAATAGAAGAGTGATACTTTCAGTCAAGAACATGGTCATCTTCATAAGGACTAGTAGATGTATTTGTCAGATCATGCTAGAAAGGCACCCACCAGCAGCGGGGGAGATGTGGGAAATGGGTAGGATTGCCCTACAGTATGAAATAGAAATGGTTACTCCATGGCTGAGCAGGCTTGCTAGAGCTCACTCCTATCAGATGGAAACCCAGACAACGTGAAGGAACAAACTTTTCTATGCATGTTACTACAAGAGCTGACTCCTCCCAGCCAGTCCTTGGCCGGAAGTAGAACTGGGATTGCCACAGAAGAGACAGCACCACCCTGAGATCTGTGATGAGGCTGTGGAGTCCTTGTATGTGGGCATTCTTGTACCAGCTCTGTCATAGTTAACCTGGCTGACTCTACCACACAGAACCAGCCTTAAAAGCAGATAAAGTATAAAATCATAGATAGTTACACCTCTGGAAGGAAGGGATATGAGAGATCCTCTAAACCATGATGAGGAAATGGGGAAGCTGGAGAGGGAAAGTGATTTCCCTGAAGTCAAACAGCCATCAATAGAAAATGGGGGACCCTCAGTTCAGTGCATGTTCGACCATGCCAAGCTGCATCCTAGAGGTTACCCAGATGGCGATTTGAAGAGCACTGGGCAGGCCACATGACTCAAAATATCTCTCTTACTACCTGGCCCTGTACCTTCCTTTAAGAATTATCTTCCAAAGTAAAAGTAGGAGCAATGCCTTAACTATTAAATATTGGGTAATACTTTGAGGGGTGGGAATGAAAATGGGAATTAGTTAATAGGTAGCAGAAGTTAAGATACTCATTAAAATGGGCCTTAGGACAGATCTATGAAGGGAGGCAGAGAAAACAGGGGCAAGAGGAAGTAGTCATTGAAAGGATCTCAAAGGCAGATTTCCATTACTGGGAAGGACCACTAGATTTGGAATCAGGAGAACTATGTCACTGTTCAAACTTTGCCACCCTATGTGACCTTGGGCAAACCTGTTCCTTTCTCTGAGCCCAGTTTCTTTATCTATTTAAAAAAAAAGGAGAGGTTTTTTTTTTTTAAATCTCTAAAGTCCCTATTTGCTCTAACATTTTGTGAGGGTGTGAGACCATTTCACAAATTTTGCTGAGGGCAGGCCCTGCTGCCAGGGATGTCAAGGGGTAATCATAGTCAATCAATTAACTTTGATTTGCTTTTATGTCATACTAATCAGATGTCAGATGAAGAACAGGGTCTACAAACATGGTCACAGATATGCTGTATACAGGCCAGGCTGCCTTGGCACCTTAGTTGTCTATGACTCTGTCAAGAAAGTGGAGCAACAGGTAAAGGCAGGGACTCAACTGAGCTCTCCCCAAACCCCTCCAAATACCTTTAAATAATGACTAAACAAATTCTAGACTGGCAGAACCCACAAAAAGATGGAGTGAAACAATTTTCCAGCCCAAGACAATTTAGAAGGTGAGCAGGAAAGGTCTGTTGCACTAGGGTAAGAACAGAGCGCAGTCCAACACAAGCTGTGCCAGTGAAGACCAGTCTGCAAAGGGGAAAGGGAAAGGTAGAATGTGGGTAAATTATCTGACATAAAAGAGGTCCTAAAGAGATTTTAGAGTGTAGAGGGAGCAGGCCTCAGGAGTGAATGAATCAGGGGCAGCAGTGGCAGCTTCCAGACCTCCAAGCCCACAGATGGTAAGGGGACTGGACAGCTGGTCAGGAGGAGATTTATAGGAATCCCTTGCCTGGCACAAGGGCTCTGTTGCATTGCCTATATTTGGATCAGGGTCACAGTCCCAGAGCAAGGAGGAGCACTAGCACACCAAAGCTTGTGATCATAGAGGATAGGGACCCTCATCACAGTTCCAGGATGGAAAAGAGTACTTGCAGTTACAGACTAGTGCACAGTACAGGAGAGTAATAAATACACCTCTCCCTGTATTATATCACCTTAGAAGAACAGAAAACTTACAGGTCTACACAAAAAACTGAAGCTTGGTACAGTGCCCCCTTCACTCTGGAAGCAGAGTCCCAATTTAGCATAGAATTAACAGTCAAGAAATAGGAGGGAAAATAAGCAAACAGAAGAAAAAGATCCCTACTATAAAAAGTTACTATGGTGACAGGGAAGATCAAAACATAAATTCAAAAGAAGACAACAAAGTCAAAACTACTATATCCAAAGCCTCAAAGAAAAATATAAATTGGCCCCAGGCCATTGAAGGGTTCAAAAGGGATTTTTAAAATCAAGTAAGAGAGATAGAGGAAAAGTTGGAAACAGAAATGAGAATGATGCAAGAAAATCATGAAAAAAGAGTCAGCTTGGTAAAGGAGGCACAAAAAATACCGAAGAAAATAACACCTTTAAAAAAATAGAATAGGCCAAATGGTAAAAGAGACACAAAAATCCAATGAAGAGAGGAATGCTTTGAGAAGCAGAGTTGGCCAAATGAAAAAGATATATAAAAATTCACTGAAAAGAATTCCTTAAAGAGCAGAATTGGCCAAATGGAAAAAAAGGTACAAAAGCTCTCTAAAGAAAATAATTCCTTAAAAATCAGAATTGGGCAAGTGGAAGCTAATGACTTTACAAGACATCAAGAAACAATCAAACAAATCAAAAGAATAAAAAAAAAACAGAAGAAAATGTGAAATGTGAAATATCTCATTGGAAAAACAACTGACCTGGAAAACAGATACAGGAGAGATAATTTAAGAATTATTGATATTCTAGAACCAGAGAGTCAAATAGAAATTGAAAGAATTACTGATCACTTCCTGAAAGAGATAACAAAATGAAAACTCCCAGGAATATTATAGCCAAATCCCAGAGCTCTCAGGTCAAGGAGAAAATATTGCAAGCAGCCAAAAAGAAATAATTCAAATATTGTGGAGCCATAGTCAGGATAACACAAGATTTAGCAGTTTCTACATTAAAGGATCAAAGGGCTTGGAATATGATATTCTGGAGGGCAAAAGAACTAGGATTATAATCAAGAATCACCTACCCAGCAAAACCGAGCATAATCCTTCAAGGGAAAAAATGGTCATTCAAAGAAATAGAGGACTTTCAAGCATTCCTAATGAAAAGACCGGAGCTGAATAGAAAATGTGACTTTCAAATATAAGATTCAAAAAAAGCATAAAAAGGTAAACAGGAATGAGAAATCATAAGGGATTCAACAAGGTTAAACTGTTTACATTCCTACATGGGAAAATGATACTTGTAATTCCTAAAAACTTTCTCATTATTAGGGCAGTTAGAAGGGGTGTACATAGACAGAAAGCACAGATGTGAGTTGAATATGATGGCATGATTATCTAAAAAAAAAATTTAAGAGATGAGAAAGAAGAATGCATTGGGAGAAGGGGAAAGGGAAAGGTAGAATGTGGGTAAATTATCTGACATAAAAGAGGTCTTAAAGAGATTTTAGAGTGCAGGGGGAAATGGGGGAAGGGGGGAAGGGAGCACATGAACCTTATTCTCATCAGAATGGGCTCAAAGAGGGAATAATATACAGACTCAGTTGGGTATAGAAATCTCCTACCATACAGGAAAGTAGGAGGGGAAAGGGATAAGAGAAGTGGGAAAGGGGCTGATAAAAGGGAGGGCAGTTGTGGGGAGGTAAAAGTCAGAAGCAAAACACTTTTGAGAATGGACAGAGTAAAAGAAGAGGGAGAAGGGGGGAGAGAGAGAGAGAGAGAGAGAGAGAGAAAGAGAGAGAGAGAGAGAAGGATAAACAGAGGGAAAATAGGATGGAGGCAAATACATAGTAATCATTACTGTGAAAAAAAAATTTATAGCAAGTTTCTCCGATAAAGACTTAATTTCTCAAACATATAGAAAACTAAGTCAAATTCATAGAAATAAGAGCCATTTCTCAAGTGATAAATGATCAAAGGATATGAATAGGCAGTTTTCAGACAAAGTAATCAAAACTGCCTATAGTTATAAAAAATGCTCTAAATCACTACTGATTAGAGAAATACGAATTAAAACAACTGAGTTACCACCACACAACTATTAGATTGGCTAATAGGACTGAAAAGGAAAATGATAAATGTTGGAGAGGACGTGGTGCTGATTCAACCATCTGGAGAGCAATTTGGAACTATGCCCAAAGGGCTATAAAACCATGCATATACCCTTTGACCAAGCAATACCACTACTGGTCTGCATCCTAAAGAGATAAAAAATAAAAAGGAACAGGACCTATGTGTACAAATATATTTATGACAGCTCTTTTAGTATGACAAAGAATTGGAAATTGAGGGGATGTCCATTAATTGGGGAATGGCTGAACAAGTTGTTGTATATGATTGTGATGGAATATTAATATGCTTTAAGAAATGATGAGCAGGCAGACTTCAGAAAAACCTGGAAAGACTTACATGAACTGATGATAAGTGAAATGAGCAAAACCAGGAGAACATTGTACACAGTAACACCAATGTTGTATGATGATCTACTGTGAATAACTTAACTATCCTCAGCAATACAATGATCCAAGGCAACTACGAAGGACGTAGGATGAAAGGTGCTGTCCATATCCACAGAAAGAACTGGCAGAGTCTGAATGCAGATCAAAGACACTTTTTCTTTATTTTTCTTGGGGTTTTTCTGTTTTTTTTTTCACAATATGACTTACACGGAAATATGTTTTGCGTGACGACACGAGTATAACCAATGTCAAACTGTTTGTCTTCTCAATAGGGGAAGGGGATGGAGAAAATTTGGAACTCAAAATTTGAAAAAAGAATGTTAAAATTGTTTTTATGTGTAATTGGGGAAAAAATAAAATATTAAATTACAAAAAATAATAAAATCTCACCTTCTTAAAAAAAAAAAAGAAAGAAAAGAAAGGGCAGCAACTTCTTTATGAAACATCCTGGAATCCTGGTCCCAGCAGTAGTCATTCAGGTTTCTTTTATCCAGGGCTCATATGTGATTGTTCAGTCATTTACACTGTGTCTCCATTTAAGGTTTTCTTGGCAAAAATACTAGAGTGGTTTGCAATTTGCTTCTCCAGCACATTTTACAGATGAGGAAACTGAGGTAAACAAGTGACTTGTCAGGGTCACACAGGTAGTAAGACCAGATTTGAACTCATGAAGACAGATCTTCCTGACTCCAAGCCTGACACTGCACCACCTAGCTACCCCTATATACTTAAGGGCTCACATACTCAGGGATATTTTCTGGGACCCAGAAAAACAAATTACAGGTTTGGTTTTTTTCCTTCTTTGGGGGATGGGAGCTTACACTATAGCACTCACCCTGTTCCTAAGATTCCTATTCAGAACCAAAAAGTCAGAATCACAAAACAGGGAGTTCAAAGAATCAGTGATTCAGTAGATTGGAACATTGGCTTGAGTCAAGAGGATCTGGGTTCAAATCCCACCTCCGCCACTTATTACTTGAATGACTTGGCAAGCAATTTTACCCCCCCAAGTCTCAGTTTCTTCAGCTATAAAAAAGAAGGGGTTGGACTAGAGGGCTTCTAACATCTTTTCCAGTTCTAAATTCTGTGATCCTAAACTTTTCTTCTCCTTGAAGCCTCAGTGATTTGGTCATTGATCATGACTAATCAGAGTTTTATGCCTCAAGTAATGCTTGTGGAGTTTGGAAAGATCTCCTACGAGGTACGTCCTTGCCCAAATGTACCCACAGTGCATGGAGGGGGTTGGGGGTAGTGGGCAGAGGGTGTGGGGAGCTTCTGTTCGCTCTGTGGCTGGCCACAAAAACCACAGTTCTAATCATGAGGGGGCACATACCACAGATGGCATCTTTGCCTTCCCTCCCCTGAGCTCATTATCTCTTCCCTCTATCTGTATCTCTCTTAGACACTACCCTGGACCTTCCCTTTTTCACTTTCTGTTCAACTCCACTTAGCTCCTTGCTTTCTGCCTACCTCTGTACCTCATGGCTGGTCTAGCACTGCTAGGAGTCCCTCCCTCTAGGCCCCATGCACCCATTTGTTTCTGTCTCTGTGTCCACGTCTCTGCTTTCTCTCTAACTCAGATCTCTTTTCCAGACCAGCTGAGACCAAAAACTAGTTTCAGCTCTGAACATAAAAGCTGACATACTCATTACAGGAATGACTAAGTGTCCTGAGCCAAGCCTCAGTCCTTGGGAGTAGGCTAGAGCTCTGAGCCCTCTGGGGGACTTGGAGAGGGTGGTTTGAAGATTTCCAGAGTCCTTTGCCTTAGGCCAGGAGCTGCTCAGTTCCTCCTCGAGAGCTCAGAGTTCCTCTTTCTGGGTAGGTGATGAATTCCCCTAGCCTGGCTGGTCAGCATAGGTGCTTGCCACAGCAAAGAGCCCCTTAAAGATGTTTCACTCATTTAAGCTCCTCAGCACCAAGAGGATAGGGCTATCTGGCTCTCTGAATGAACTGGATTAGGTTACTAGTCTGCCTGCCCATCTCTAATGTCAGTTATGTAGATACTATGTCTTTTTCTCACACCAGGATACCTCAACTTGCTCCCCACAGTGGGACCTACTCCAAATGATCTGTCAAATACCTACAAAAAAGCCCAGGTCCTGGTATGTGGTCAGACTTTAGCTTGGATTTGCTTTTTAAGAGAGTTTTCCTTTTTCCTTTCTTTTTTGATTTCAATTAAAATGTCATTCCTTCTCACATAAACACTCAGTCTTTGGAGGAGTTAGGATCTGGACCAGATTAGAAAGACAAATATTAGGAAAGGGAGCCTCCACCATCACCTCCCCATCAACTTCAGTTCAGACATTCCAAGGCCCAAAGTGAAGCTAACACCAGCAGAGAGAATCTCCTAAAACCAACTCAGGCTGAAATTTGGTCGTAGGTGGAATGAGGCTAAAAGTGAAAAGCTGATCATAGGGTTGCCAGTCAAAGAACTTGGTGAATTAAACCCAGGTCTGTGCATCTATCTTTTTGTCACCAGCAAAATATCATCACCACATTTGACCATTGAGAGGAGGGAGAATGTCTGCCACCTAGCCTTTCTCATGCCACTGTGCCGCTCTCAGAGGACTCAGCACATTGGAGTCATAGAATTTTTGACCAAATTTAGATCTCAAAACCTACTTAGAGGGCATGAGTTCCCAGAGCTCCAGAATACGTTACCTTGGAGATGTAGGTCAATGGCAAAGATCCAACAGCTCCTGCTCCAATTGCCAGGTTCTGAAAGAGAGTGTCAAGGAAGGGTTAGGGTTGGTTGATTTGCAGAAGAGGTAGTTGTAGCTGGACGCTTCAGAGAGAATACAAGTCAGAAGCTGTAGCTGCCTCCAAACTTTGAACAAGTCACCTAAGTGCCATCTTCTGTCAACCCCGAGTCAGAGTCCTAAGTTTAAAAAAAGGGGGGGAGTGGGATAGAAAGGGAAGAACATTTGATCTGAAGTCAGAGAAGCTGTGTTCAAATTCCAGCTGTGCTGCTTTACTACCCCATGACTTTGGACAAATCACTTCTCTCCCTACTGGGGGACTCAGTTTCCTCTTTAAAATGGGATAGAATTGGAGCCAGAAGAGGTTGAGGTTGAGAATTTTCCCTAATTTGTTAACACAGGTTTATTTCAACTTAAACGAATACCTTACATGAAAATATGAATACTATTACTCATTCAACCTGTGGCATAGTGGATAGAGAAAATGGCCCTGAAAAAGGACAAATCTGACAAATAATGGCTGGGTGACCTTGCACAAGTAACTTAAATTTTCAGCACTTATGTTATTTCATCTGAGCTTCACAAAAAGCCTCAGGTAATCACTATTATTATCCCCATTTTGCCAATGAGGAAACTGAAGTTGAGAGAGTTTAAGGTAAGCTACCTAGAGCCACACAGCTGTCAAATGTCTGAGCCAGGATTTGAACTCAGGTCTTTATGACTCCAAGATCTAACACTAACCACTACACCACCTAACTTCCTCTGTAGATTAGAGGTAAAAGCATTTCTTAAATCCTACTTCATAATTCATAACAAAGTCACTGGACCCTGATTTGGACTGAGAATGCCCATAGTGTGTGGGCAAATGTGGAAGAAAGTCATTAATACTATTCCAGCACCAACGATTAATGTTCTTCTGTTGACCTCTTGGACGTTGTACATCAGACTAAAGAGACATGAACTATACTCCCAATTCCTACCGTTGACCAAAGATGGGCCCTTGGTCAAGTCTTTTAACCACTGTGGGCCTTAGTTTTCTTATCCATAAAATGAAGAGGGCTGGACATGAGGACCACTACTATAACTTTCATATCTGAAATTCTATAATTCCATGCACCTCTGATATGATACATACACAGAAGACCTTATTCTACACGAACTGTTGTTGTAGCTTCACATGTTTATGTAAGGCAAAATCACTGTATGTCCACAGCTTGCTTTGTAACTTGATCAGAAGAGACCAGGAAAATCAGCTAAGTCTCCAGAGCCCTAAAGACACAGCAATGTTTCTTATTTTGTTTTTTGTTTTGCCAGAGGGCAAGGTAACTATAAGCCTGGCCTCAACTATTACTGAGGTTGCTGATTTAAGATTCCCCCATTAAGGGCAACTTAGATGAAGCAATGAGTCCCAGAAGACCAAAAGTAATTTGCCTAATGTCCCACAGGTAATTAAAGGCAGAAAAAGGATTAGAATCCAAATCTCCTGATTATCTCACACACTCACCAGTCCCAGAGGTTTCCATACCTGAGATCATTTCCAACTACTGGCATTTACGTCAGTGACTCCCTGCTTGGAGTCTTGTAATAGGCTACAGGAACATCTGTCTTTATATAACAACTTTATTCCTGAAAACATACTATGTAATTTAAATATATGTAAATTTAATCTTGGTCATTTAAAACAAAATCAGACTCCTTCTGTAAAGTGAAAAATTTCCTGGGAGAATAAATTTTTTTTTGGGGGGGGTGGTTAGGAGTGAAGAAGATAAGACTTGGACCCACGATTTTGCCCATGCAGGGAAATCCCAATTAGGCAACTTACTCTATCATTTCAGATCAACCCCTTCTCTGTAATTTATACATACTGACTAAGCCTCAAAGAAAACCACAACTTTTCCCCAAGATCAACTAGCATTCTTAAAAGAAATGAGGCAGGAGTTTAAATAACGAGTTTTAAGATGATATTATAAGTTCAATGAGAGCAACAGAAGCAAGAGTTGATAAAGAAAAAAAGAACTGTGGGAGGGAGACTTGGAAACAAAATTAGCAGCTTAACACAAGAGGTACAAGCCCATATAACAAACCTCCCTGAAAATTAGAATAAACAGAAGTTAACAACTCCATGAGAAAATAAGAAATATTAAAACAAAGTCAAAAGATGGGGGGGGAGGGACCAGAAGAAAAGGGAAGGTATCAATTGACCTTGAAAACAACTCAAAAAGAGATCATTTAAGAATTACTGTACCGCCTAATCATAAAAGAAAACTACCTGGATATGTTAGAACCCAGATAGCAAAGTAAAAGTAGAAAGAACCCAACAGTCACCTCCTAAAAGAAACCCTCAGATGAAAACTCCTAGAAATGTCACAGTTAAAAAACTCACAGCTTCCAGGTCAAAGAAAAAATACTGCACACAGCCAGAAAGAAAGAATGCAAGTACTGAGGAACCACAGTCAGAAACATACAAGATTTACCACAAAGAAAAGGAGAGGATGAAGTAAAATGTCCTAAAAGGCAAAAAATATAGGCTTAAAACCAAGTATATCTCACTCAGCAAAGCTGAGGATAATCCTAGAGGGGAAAAAAAACCAACTTTGAAAGAAAGAGAGAATTTCCAAACACTCCTAATGAAAAGACAAAAGCTGAGTAGAAACTCTGAAACACAAACATGGAAATTAAGAAAAACAAAAACAGGTAAATAGAAGAAGCAATCAGAAAAAGATTTTTGAATCAAGAAGACCTGAGTTCAAATCCAACATCACTTACTTAGTAGCTATAGGACCCTGGGTAAGTCACTTAACTGCTATTTGCCTCAATTTCCTTGTCTATAAAATGGGGATGATAATAATAGCACCTATTTCCCAGGACTGTTGTGAGATAACATGAGATAATAATTACAAAGCACTTTATAAACCTTAAAAAGCAATATAAATGCTAGTTATTATCATTAATTATGAAATGTTTACATTCTAATGAGAATACAAGCATTCCTTGAGAACTGTAATGTCAACAGGATTTATACAGGGAGGGGAAAAAAATGAAGGGCCTGGGAATGATTTTTTTAAAGCTTTGATGATTTTAAAAGAAGAAAGGAAATGGGTATATGGAGTGGAGGACCATATAGTAGGGGAGAAATGGAAGGAGAAGGAGAGGGAATGTATCTCATATAATCTGGGAGCACAACTAGTTTACACCAGAGCTTAGCCCAGAGCCTGACATATAGTAGGAGTTTAATTAATGTTTATTAATTTACTGACTAATTATGCAAATGAGAAAGGAGAAGGGTCCAGGGAGGGGGAACTTTACTGTGAAATGATGCAGAGACAAGTGAGTAGAACCAAGAGCACGATTATTACTATAACAACATTGTAAAAATGAACAATTTTGAAAGAGCTAACTTTGAACAAAGCAGTGATCAACCATGATTCCAGAGGGTAGAATGCTGCCCACCTACTGACAAAGAGGTGATAGACTAGATATGCAGAGTGAGACATGTATTTTTGGGCATGGCCAACATGGGAATTTGTTTTGCTTGATTATGCATACTTGTTGAAGGGAAGGAAGGTTTTTTTTTCTTTTTTTCCACTTGGGGAGTGGGAGGTGGGAAGAGGAAAGGGTAGATGTTTGTTAATTGGGGAAAAAAGAATTTTTTTTTCTAAAAAAGAAAAGCAATTCAACAGCATTTGGAGGATGAATTGGAGAGGGGAGAGGCTGGATATAGGGAGACTAATTAGGAGATTATTGCAATATTCTAGGCAAGAAGTGAGGAGGGCCTTAACTAGGCTGTGTGAATGGAAAAAAGGAGAAACATTTGAGGGTACTATAGGCAGAAGCTACAAGTCTTTCCAATATTCTCATAGTGGAGGATGACTTTAAGGTTGCAGGATGGTAGAAGCCTCAATAAAATTAGGGAAATTAGATAAAGTTGGTGTATTGATAGGAATGGAGTGGGAAGATAATTAGTTCTGTTTTTGGAAATGTTGAATTTGAGATCCTTATTAGATATCCAGCTATATAGGAAGGGAGGCAGTAGGGAAAGGAGCCCAGGAGACTAATGAGGCCCAGAAAAGTAGATTTAGAAATCATCTGAATAAATATGATACCTGAATCCATGGAATTCACTGGCAAAGTATATAAACAGAAAAGAGAGGGCCCAGGTGGGGTAAGGATATGCCAGCAAATGTTTGTGGGGGGAGAGGGAAGAAATATATGCACAGACAAGCAACAAAACAATAAATCAAGCCCTGGATCCTATTTCTGCCGGGTAACTGGGTGGCACAATGGATAAAGCACCGGGCTTAGAGTCAGGAATACTTATCTTCATAGATTCAAATCTGGACTCACACACTTACCAGCTGTGTGACCCTGGGCAAGTCACACAGGGAGAGACAACATGCAAAGAAATATATACAAAACAAGCTATATACAGAATAAATAGGAAATAATTAACAGAGTGAAGGCATTAGAATTAAAGAGAGGTAGTGTGTTGACAGTTTGTAGAAGGTTTTGAAAGCCAAGCATAGGAAACTGAACTTTATAGGCAATACTTAAAATGTTTGAACAGGGGAACAATGTGAATGGCTCTACACACATGGAAAATTATTCTGACAGTTACATGATGAATGAGAAGGAGAAGAAGATCTGTTAGGAGGCTAGAGTAGCAATGCTCTTACTAAGGTAAGAGCAGTGAGACTGGAACACAAGAGATAGGTGCAAGAGATGTTGATGGAGACAGAATTGACAGGACACGCCAACTAATAGGCCAGCAGAGAAAGGGAATTTAACACTAAAGTTAAAAACATATGAAACAGACAGAGTAAATGGTGGTGCCACAGACAGAAATAGACAGAGGAGTTCACTGGAAGGAATTAGAGTTTAATCAGGGAAAGAGAAGACTTGGGGATGGGGGAGATGGAAATGATAGCTGCCTTCAAGTATTTGAAAGGCTATCATATGGAAAAGAACTTGACTTGTCTTGTTTGATTGCAAAGGACAGAGTCAGGAACAAGAAACCTCAGG